TTTCTGACCAGCAGGATCTTCAGCCTTGCTCCCAAGAAAAAGTCTTTACCATTCTAACTCTTTCTAACTCTGGATTTTCCTGAATTCACATAATCACACAATACATAATGGCAAACTATTTCCCATAAACACAAGCCTTGCTCACCACTCATAAATACCAGCTGAAGAAGCTGCTAAAGCCACAGCCACCTCTGGGCACAACTTCCAATGCATCACTGACTACTCAATTTCAAAGAACATTCTCGAATGCCAAAATAAATCAATGTCCAGCACAGCTCTAGTCAGCTCATGCAATATAGGTTAAACAGAACCATATGGCAAAGAAACACACATGTTGCCCTTTGCTGAAACAAAGGACAAAAATTCCTCAACAAATTGTCCCTTACCCTTTCACATGGGAGGAGGCGGAGCTGATTAGAGGGATTTCTGAAGTACTAGGAATGCTGGGGGTGGAGGGGGAAGGGTACCTTACTGCCTGGCCACTAACAAAAAAATCTGGGTTCATCAGAGCACCTCCATTTCTGAGTCTCCCTCTAGGTCCCAAAGCTAACAGCAGATTGCAATCTCTAAGCATCGCCTAACCGAGCAGGAGGGCAGCCAGCTGTGTGCAGGAGGCATCAGCAGGTCCCCAGGGTGTGAGGGGCAGCCAAAGACAAGCCTACCTGTTCTGAAGGAGTAAAACACCTGCTCAACCATGCCTGGAAATAAAACAGTACGACATGGGCCTACCTCCTCCCACTGCCAGGGAGACAGTCAGAACGCCACCATTTCAGATTGTGTATGGCAAGAGTGCGAACTGGAGCGATGTCATTAAATTCCTGACTCAAAACAAACACGGAGAGAAAAACAATCTCCCAGAAGGAACACATCCTAGAGCAGAGAGATGTGTCTGATGAAACTGACTTCCAGATTAGCTTTTCCCTGTTCTCCAGTTTTGCGTCTTACTCATTACTTGACATATATTTATATGTTTGCTTTCTAAAAATAGCTTTAGTTCTAATTACTCTGCTTAGTAATTTCCAGGACCATTTGGGCTGAAGATTAAACACCAGATCTTTCCTGAGAAACTACTTTTAAGGCATGTTTGGGGCACAAAATTATACTTCTTGACAATTCCAATGTGTTGTGCATGGGACAGCTTTCAATCTGGCAGGGAAGGCCACAGCTGCCAGGGTCACGTGCAGGCAAATGCAGGGGATAAAGAAGGCAGGGCGTGCAGTTACAACTGCCAGTTTTTACCAGTCCTTCAGAAATATACCTCATTTACCCTGAACGACAGGCCAGGACGCTTACAGACCCAGGAATGCAGTCAAATGCCCGAAGTGTGTCTCCTCGAAATAAGCTTTAAAGTAGACAGGTTTTTTAAGACCCAGATAAACATTCCAAATTCAGTCAATGTCTCCCTTCACTCTTCCTTCCATAAGGTTAATTTTATTAATAATTACCATAAGTAGAAACACTAGGTAGGATTCCTTTCTTAAAATGGGTTTCTGGTAATTTTCAAAAATTCTTGGAAACTCTGAAATAATCATAGCAGGCTTCCAATGACAAGAAGACTCCTGCCTGCCCTCCTGGGCAGGAGAGGAGGGGAAGGGCAAGCACACCCTCTCTGTGTGTATCTCTCTGTGTGTCTCTTCCCCAAGCAGAGGGAAAAAGGGTCCTACCTCCCACTGCCGCAAAACTCCCTGCTGGTGGAAGAAGGGCGGACGGGAGCCAGGGCCTGAACATGGCAGGTGCTGCCCCTCATATGCTCCCTGATACCCTAAACCCTGAACAGGTGGTTGCCACGAACTCCAGGCAGTCTGGTGCAAAGGCTGGGATCAGGGCCCCACAGTGAAGGCCACAGCAGTCGCAGCAAAGCAGACTATAGAGTCAAACCCTACCCACGGCCCCGAGCATCCCCAGGGTCCACATTCACAACTTCCTCCCAGCATCTCCACGTTCCTCTCAGCCAGGGGCGTGCACAGCTTCGGATTCCAAAAGCCCCTCCTTCCTTCCTCAGGCTTCACAACAGCCCCACATCCTGAAGCTGGGCTTGCTGGGAAAACGCAGCTCCTGAGGAGATGCAGTTCCAAGCAGCACCAGAGGGGTCGCTCGCCTGCCCTGCCAGCTACGGAGTAATGAAATTAGTCCCGCAAGCTTCCACGTGAATAATTCTGGAAGCTAAGGTCAAAGGTGCCGAATTGTAAGCAGCCTGGAGAAGCTAGTGAACCACCAAGCAAAACTCCGGTGGACTCACAACACAGCTCCTAGGGTGCATGCTCAGGAAGATGGGGTGTAGGGGATTTCCCGGCTCTTTCCAGAACTTTGGGGGGCGGGGGAGGGCGCTAACAAAGAGATGCATTTTTAAAAAGGGGTACATCAGAATAGCTTTTCCCAAGCACGGAAACACAGAAACACTGGGTAAGCTGCTTTTGAGGAAGTAATGATATCCCCAGGTTCAAAAGTTTATACAGCAAATACCTACCTAAAGTTTCTCTTTTCTTCCATGAGTTCTATTAATTATGAACAAATCCACGTGCACCACCAAGGAAAATTTGGACTGTTCGAGATAAATATGGCCAGCAGAAAAAAAAAAAAAAAAAAAAAAAAGAACTGAAAACTGATATGGCCCCTGCACTTAAGTAACAGCCATGTTTGCTTTGGTTGTGAACCTGGTGATAGTATAAGCAAACTATTTCTTGTAGTGCCATAATTAACACCTGTCCTTTTCTCCTAAATTGAAAGTCGAGGAAGAAACAAAACAGTGAGCTGACCAGGCGACCCTCTAAAGGAGCAGCGTGACAATAGGAAAGCACTCAGGCCGGGCATGCTCCCTCCCCTACTGCCCAGCCATAATCAGCTTACATTTCGGCTCCGATTTCCATGGCCTTAAGGTATAATGCCGCTGAAATTCTACACACAACCTCCAGTCCCACTCCAGGCCACTCCCACAAAATTCTTTTTTTAAAGATTCCTTCTGGTAACTTGTGAATAAGGCCAAAACATATCCTGGAGTATGAATACACAGAAACCTACAACAACCCCTTAAGCCCTGGACTGGTTTTTCGAGAAGGAGCCATGACTAAACACTTAAAGTTGCCAGGGTACACTGCCATCTTCCCCCACTGGAAGACTGGGAGCCATCTGTTAGAGTAGTCCCCACTTCAAAATATTCTTAAAGAACCTCCTTTTCTCTTTCACACAACTGCTGCTCAACTTAATCACATCAAATGCCCCACTCATAAAAACTCAAATATCTCCTGGTAGGAACCAGCTAAGGCAAGAGGAGTTAAAACTTTCATTTATGAAAGTAAAGCCACAGTGTGACCCGTTTAGGGGTCTTCTCTCAATCCACTTTCACGGTGTCTCTGGGAAGTTAACGAGTAAGAGAGATTTGTAACGTCCCCGGGAATTTTTTAAAGGTACCTTAGTTGCCTCTATAAGGTGTTTACAAATAACAAGGCTCAAAAGCTGCCGAGGCAAGCTACCATGAGGACAAACCAGCAATTAGTATCAGTCACACACACCAAAGTTAAAGTTGGGGGCCCCAAGATGATTTCATACATTAGGTTTTTAACAACTCAGAACCACAAGTAATGAAAATTCCCTTCTCTCTGCTCACTGCAGGGAGCGGTGAGCGGCCAGAGCTAGCCACTGGGCTGTTTTGTTTCCTTCGGAAAGGCTTGCCCACTCCTCTAGCTAGCTTTATTACAGATCCACTGGGTGGCTGCTGTTTTAGAATGCTAATGTACTCCGGAGGCTTCCATATTAGCAAGTGTAAGAAAACAAAGTTCTCCCAACGAACTAAAAAAATATTAGACATGTATTTATCTTAACACATCAGGATTTTAATTTGATTATCAAAACAGTTGTGAGCCTCTTCCTGAGCTCAGCTTATCCCAGAGCCCATTCCAGATGGCTATGGGGTCACTCTCCTGGAACTAAGGCTGTCCCCTCCAGTGACCCAACTCATAGCCCTGACACGAGAGCAGCTCAACTCCATCTCCAGTTTTTTTGTTTTTTTGGGGGGGAGGGGGAAGGGAAAGGGACCCTCAGATTCATGCAGAACATGTATTGTGGTATATTTAATTCTTGCCGGTCTGTGTTTAAAAAAACAAAAAAACAAAAAGAGCTACTTTGACTCAACAACTGAAGAATGCAAGAGAAAATGAAGGAGTGATAAAAATGGGCTCTTGTGTACAGAGCAGTAGCGAATATCATGTCAAACAGCAGGCATGCCTTGTTCCTTAAAGTAACACATTCCTAAACCGAAATACTCCAACCATATTAATAGGGAGGTTTGAAACGTAATCTGGAAAGATCCTCTATACTCTGCTTCTACGGCGGGCAACGCACATCAATTTTTAAATTATATTTAATCAACATTCAAGACTTAATGGTAGGTTCACCGGGACGTGACTTTCTCCTGTACCTTTAATTAAGACGCCGTCTGAAGTTCCTTCCGAGACTTGCTGGTTAAGTGGGCACCGCGAGTGGACCCGAGGTCCAAGCCCTCGGTCCTTTGTTACTCAATGGACACCCTGGAAGGCCCGCCCCAGCCCAAGGGCACATCTGGGCTTCTAGAAAGGACCCACGCGCTCTCGGGGCCTCTCCTCCACGCAGACACCGGCTGGGTCTCCGCGTAGCCCACGGGAGCCCCCCGCCCCCCCTGCAGCCTCCGTACCCACCGGCCACTCCCGCCCCAAATCCGCCCCCGGGGAAGCAGGGCCCGACTCAGGTGTGGACACTTACATAAGCGCCCCCCGGAGGGGGGACGCCTCCACCCCCCAACCCACCTCCGGCAGAACAAAGTGAAGTTTAAAATAGAAAGCAATTACCTGGCCTGGCCGCCGCGCTGGGCCGCCGAGCCCCGCCGCGCCTCCGCAGAGCCCCCGCCCGGCCGGGCCACCCCTCCCGCCCACGCCCGCCCACGCCTCCGTCCCGCGAGTTCGCCGCCGCCCCTCCCCGCCCTCCCCGCGCCCCTCCCCCACGGCCCGCGCCCCTCGGCCCGCACGGACCCCCCAGCCTTTGTTACGGTGCGAAGTTGGGCTCGCGGGTCCGCGTCTCTTTCACTTCTTGGGTTACAGTGCGGGCGTGTGACGTCCGCTCCACATGACGGGGGCGGGGGCGGGCGCCCAGGAGAGGGGGCGGCGGAGCGGGGCCTCCTCTCCGGCGCCCCGCCCACGGCCCGCCCCCGCCCGCCCCCGGGGCCGCCGCCCCCGCCCCCGGGACGGGCAGGTGGGCGTCCCGCCCCCGGGCGCACGCCACGCCTCCGGGGCGGGCAGGTGGCGGCCCGCCCCCGCGCGCCCGCCCGCCCGCCCTCGGCTCCCCCTCCGCCGCCACCCAGGCCCACGCCCCCCCAGCGGCGCCGCGCCGCCGGGATACACAGAAATAGGAATGATTTAATGCAGCGACATACCCATTCCTCAAGCCGCGGGCTCGCCGAGATTGGAGCGAGGGCCGGCCGAGAGGGGTGGCGATCCGGTTGGGCGGATACGGCCCGCGTAGGAGGGCACACGCGGACCGGCAACACCTAGTGACCGAGTTGGAAATCTCGGGCGGGGGCAGCCTCGAGGTGGCCTCGGTGCAGCCAGAGACTGCGCACCGGGTGTGGACACTGTGCCTTCCGAGGTCTGTGGCACCGCAGGGCTCTCCGCCAAGGGGAGGGAGGCTCAGGCGTGAATTTAGCCCAACACTGCATCATCCCCACTGCCTCTCGTGAATCGCGAGGCAGCCCACCCAGCTCCCCAAACACGAACTAGGCGGCCAGGTCCAGCGCGTTCAAGTCCCCAAGTGAGTGTTGCACTAAGTCACCCATCCGTCGCTAGGGATGTCCCTGAGAAGAGTGCAGCGGATTCAGACAGCAGGCGGCGTGGGGTGGCCCGGGACAGCCTGCCCGTGAATGTACCCATTGTGCGGAGAGGACGCAGCCAGGGCGCAGCGCTGGCAGGACCGGCGAACACCAGAACTTTCATTCTCCGAGAGCAGCTCGCCTTCCAGAATTTACCATGGCCTAAGTATCACTCCCCGTGAGAAAATGCAATTGGAAGTTGGAAGACGAACGGCGCCCTTCACTTTTACAAGGACTTAACGTCTTTTTTCAGCAACCCACAACCTCTGCACATTTGCCACCGGCCAGCGGCTGCAGCGCACCCCCACCGGCGCCTGGACCAGGCGGGTGGAGCCGCTCCCGAGTCCCCAATGGCCGAGAAGTGTTATCAGTCTTTTCTCTCTCCTTCCCGAGCGGCGGGTTTCGGCTTGAATCCGAAAGTGTCTCTACTGCCCAGTCTTCACAGGAAGACGCTGGGAGGGGGCAGGGTCTCCACTTGGCCTGCTGCGTGCGCATCTAGCTGGACAGACTTGGATAAAAGCGTGTCCACGTCTACAGCACACATCTGTGCAAATGCGGGAGCCTGCGGATGCGCGCGGCTGGCCGCACTGTGCCGACACACGGGCGCGGGCGCGCGCGACGCGCGCTCCCATACACACACACACACACACACACACACACACACACACACACCCCAAATTACCTCCGGGATAGAGAAAGCTGCTGCGGATTGGCCGACCCAGCCGTCACTCACACCCAGGGGGCAGGGAGAAATTGCAAGGCAGTTTCTTTTTTCTCTCTCTCTCCCCTCCCTGGCGTTCCATTTAATGGTAAAACAACGGCAGAGCTCTGAAAGTTAGCCATCTATGCAGTTAGTCTCCCTAACGAGGCCCGAGTCAGAGGATTCCATTTAAATAAATCCTTTACTTCCACAATGGACGAAAAGGAAAACGGGCAGCGGGAGCAGGGAGCCCCGAGGAAGACGGAGGGGGAGTCACTGGGGCGAGTAGACTCAGGGTAGAGTTGTTCTCAACACCCCAAAAAGGACTTTGGCCGTTGAGTGATTTAATAATTTTAAAATGTTCTCAGGTGTCATATTATAGCCAATGTTCGTCCCTAATTTTTAGAGTCGTTATTTTATTATTTAAGCATGCTGAAGCAAGCATGTTTCCTTAAGAAAGAACTGACCTATTTTTGGCTGGAGATAAACGATCATGTTAACAGATGTTAATCTTGTAATCTGTTTTTCCTGTCAAGCACTTCACATACCCGGGCTTCAGGACCTTAAAAATAACATCTATTCCAAAAAGACCTGACGTCACAATCCACTCTGGGGGGGGGGGGGTTAGCACTCCCCTCCAGTTTTTTTTTTTCCTCCTGCAATGATTTCAAAGACATTAAATCTTTTTAATTTATAAGTGCCGATTTGTTCTGCCTCAACTCCCACAGGCTTTTATTTGCATTTCAAATTCCACAGGTTACACCAGTCGCCTTTTCAAAAAAAAAAAAAAAATGTAAACCAACAATGCAGCAGTAAATGGCTTTTTGTGCATCTGGATTAAATAAGACACCGAATGAATATATTTAAAGAGGAGGGCCGAGCAAGTTGATGTGTGCTCACCCGGAAGCCAAGGGACTCTTCACCAGCAAGCCAGGCAGGGAGTTAGCTGCACACACAGCCCGGGAGCTGGGGGCTGGTGGACTGGGCTGGGCGGCCGCTTGTTAACGCTGGTGATGGATGCGGCTGACTTACAGACCCACATTTTTCGGGTAAAAGGCTGCTTCTCTGCAGTCCTAATTGCAGGGATCTACTGGTTTCCCGGCTCACAAAGCCTGAGAGTCCTGGCACGCGGGTCTTCCTCCCTGGACCGCTGGCCCGAGGACCCCGCTGGCCTGGCTTCTGACAAACTTATTCAGACAAAGTTTCTCTAAAACTTGACGAGGTGGTTTAATCTGAATACTGATCTTAACTATTTGGTATGTTCTCCCTGGAAATGGCAGAGGAGGCGCCGTTCCAAACCCTACCCCACCCCCGCAGCATACATCCCACTGAGTTCTTCTCTTTCGCTCACAGGGTGTAATTCGTGTGTATGTGTGTTTACACATATACACATTTACATTGGCTATCAGTAAGTCCCCCCCGCCCCCACTCTGCGCCCAGCAAGGCAAACCGCAATTGCGTGGAGTCCCGCCGCGCAGGGATCTCCTCCCCACCCCACTCCAAGTCACTTCCAGAACCGCGCCCCCGCCCCCACCCCTATGAGAACTTCCCTTTCCCGAGAGCCCACTTCTTCAGTGTTGGGGTCACTCGGATCTCCCTGCTGACGGGCAGGAGCTCCGGGAGGGGACAGTGCGAACACCCTCCACCAAACACAAACACACGAACACGTCCCCTCGGCAGCAGCTCCGTGCCCACAGGCATCGATCCCCTCCGCCAAACCCTTAATAATTGAAACGGCTCCTCCAGCCCCGCCGCCCATCACCCACCTTCATTAGCCAGAGCGTTTTACTTTAAAGTAAGGCAATTTGCTCTTTGTCTCCTAATGGATGAGAGCGCATCCGAGCTCCCCTCCTCCCGCGTCGCCTTTGACGAAGTGTACAAAGCCAGAGCCTCTTCCGCGCTCCCACCCCGGCCCCCACCCCGCCCCTTCACTGCGGTAAAAGCCTCCTCCCGGGCGCTCGCCCCGCCGCCCGAAGTTTCATCTTCGCCTCTCCTGGAATTGCAGAGCGGAGTAACTACCAGCACCGAAAGCCAAGTCGCCCTCCTGGCGCCAGCGACCTTCCACAGGGCGCGCCCCCTGCCCAGCGCGCCCCCACCCCACGAGGCACCCGCAGGGTCCTGAGCACGTTTTGGGTCCCGACCCTCCCGGCCATGCCAGTCGCCGATCCTCCCTCCAACCGGCCAGGACGCGCCCCCGCCCCACGGCCCCTACCTTGGCGGGGGGAGGCGGCCGGCCCCGGGAGGAGGAGGAGGAGGAGGACGCGCACGCCCCGCGCATCTGAAGGTGAAGCCGAGCGCTCGCGGCGCGGAGCCGAGCGCTGCTCCAGACCGAGCGCGCCAGCTGCGCCCGGGCGCGGGGGACGCGCGAGGGCGCGCGGGACCCGCCACGCGCCTGGCCCCCCTCCGCGCGCCGCGCC